AACCCAAGTATTGTAGGGATACCAAAAGAAGAGTAGTCCCCAGTCCCGAGAGATTATTAAGTTCCAAGATTTTTCCATTATTTTCATTTTTACCTTGTCTGATCGTAAACAACGGAGTATCAGCATTTTCTGGAATGGGCCGAATTTCTCCTCCCATTCTCCTGGTAGAGGCTCTAGATGTGGTTCCTGTAGCATAAGAAGGATTCGGTTTCAAACGATTAATCACATGCATGAAAGAGATGATTTGAACGTGGTACATTAACTCAGAGGAGAACTATTGAACTGTACATAGCGAAGGAGTTGAACTTACATTGCTGTCGTAGATCTTCTTCCATCCATCAATGTTTCTTGGGAACTTTTGACGGAATCCCTTAAACCTAAAAGAAAATCCAGGGAGGCGGTTGGATTAAGTGTTTTTGGGGGCAATCTAGTATTTGGTGGGGAGTGAAAGCATTAATATCCTCATGAATGGCTATGGAAAGGGAAAATATACCCTACCAGCGTGGCGTAACAACAGAGAGTAGATGCCTGCAAATTGCTAGTGAAATTTCAAGGATTACGGCAAAGCTGCAATAAAATCGCAAGAGAAATTGCAAGAAAACAGCCCACTATGTAAGTATAAGATTCTGATCTATGCATGTGGCGGCCATTGTTTCTTTGAATCTATGAAACATAAAACTACCATAACGCATAAAATAATAATAATAATTAACGATTAAGATAACAATCCTGCATTCAGTAACAACTTACTTTTTCAAATCTTCCAGCCTACAAATTTCATCCCATGATCTGGCAGGCAGCCAGGTTGCAGGGTTAGCATGTGGATTGTCAAGACCTACGCCTCCTGTAAGAAGAAACCTCCATTCATCGCTGCACACATCGTGGTCATGCATGAGGATGTTCACACAAAGAACAAATGAAAACAGAAGCTGAAAACAAAAAAACAATGTGAATTCAATTTACTGTGGAATAGGAAGTAAAGAGGCATCAAAAATATACAAGGTGTAACCTCCATACCAATAGTCCATTTCACGGTTACCTGGACGCCATCTTGGATTTGCATGAAAGCGAGGCTGACCTTGAGTCGTCTGGAAAGGCTTGAAAAGTTTATACGGTAGTTCCGGTGACTGTTCAAGTAAAAATGAACTCAAAACGTTTGAAAAACGAAAGAAAAAGCGTAGGTCCGCAATGTGCTGCCTATTGTGTTACGAACGCTTTTTATAAGAACCCAGACTTGAATTTTTTCTCTTTCCCGAGTGACAAATCAAAGCGAAATCGATGGTGTAATCGAGAGAAAATATTTGCTCTTGTGATACTGACATTCATCGTTTAATGACTGTACTTGTTTCTGAAGTCCATCTACTTGCATCCTCAGCTCTTTTATAAGTTCATCCTGAGAGTTTTCTTGGTAGCCCTAAAGGTAAATTGGARCACTAGTTATTAATCTCCAAARCTCACAAAGTCAAGGGTGTAAAATTTATTGAGATGTAAGTTACATTGCCATAACACATTTACCTCCATATTATCGATGTTTTCCACTGGAACTGCAACATCCTCTTCGATATTACAACTAGTTACAAAATCTTCAGTTCTTTTGTCTAGTGTCTCAACTTCTCTTGATTTAGGAAGTGCTCTTTTGTTGGTATCTTTAGATTTACTYCATTGATGACCAAGTGATGGTTCCGCGTCTGCATGATGTAAATTTCAAAAACAATAGTAAATCTTTTGCTTGATCCGGTTTGCTTATAACACCATGAAAAAAGTTTACCTTTAAGCTTACCTTTTTTCAGTTTCTTGATCCCAGTYAATGTTTTATCAATGTCTTTTTCCGAAAAATGACTACTGTAAACCACTGTTCACCTCGTGATATAGAAAACATCATGGCCGTGCCGTTTCTTTATAAGATTACACCATCGATTTCGCTTTGATTTGTCACTCGGGAAAGAGAAAAAATTCAAGTCTGGGTTCTCATAAAAAGCGTTCGTACAGCCATAGGCAGCACCGACATTGCGGACCTACGCTTTTTCTCTCGTTTTTCAAACGTTTTGAGCTCATTTTTACTTGAACAGTCACCGGAACTACCGTATAAACTTTTCAAGCCTTTCCAGACGACTCAAGGTCAGCCTCGCTTTCATGCAAATCCAAGATGGCRTCCAGGTAACCGTGAAATGGACTAAAGGAACTTGTACAATTGGTAATTTATAGAGATGTGACGATGTTTATCGTATGATAAGATAAGAAAAAAATGCAGCGTTGCTGAAACGAAAGAACTCAGAAAACAATCTGAGTTACAGATGAAGRAATAGAAAACGCGCGCGCGTGCTATGTGCAGTAATAAAGCACGAATGAGGGAGGGGGGAGGGGGGGTTGGCAGAACACAAAAGAAGTATTAAGAGAAGCACGAGTCGTCTTTATAAAATACAAATTACAAGAACTGTTATTTTGGATATGAATTACKCAACTGAAAGTGCGCGCGCGTGTTGTGTACTACATAAAGCACGCGCTCCCAACCAATCAGAACGCAAGATTTATAACAGTTATTTTATAATGGGAGTTGGTGAATTTCACCTGCTAATTAATACTTTGACTGTATGTATGTTCCACCTGGCTTCATTTTCTTGTGTGGTGTGTAATGGGATTTGTATCACAAAATGCGGAAGCATGCATCYCATGATGCACTGCACTATTTGATCGTGACGTATAATAGTGTGAGGGTCATTGAGCCCGTGTGCATCAAAATGTTACAAAGAAAAAAACAATGGTTACAAAATGGAAGTTGAATAATGTTGGTATTACCTTGTCTTTCTCGAACAGAGATCTGCATACGTTGCAGTAGAGAGAGTAGGTAAAATGGTTCCTTAGGTTACCTAACCTGTAATATATAGCAACGAAACTGGTGAGTATCTTATCTCATCTCCAACTCTATAAGCAAGCCTTGCCCTGACTTTGATCAGCCCTGAGGTTGTTTCAGGGTTAAATGTGTGAGTTAGCCGTGCCCTGACTTTGATCAGCCCAGAGGTTGTTTCAGGGTTAAATGTGTGAGTTAGCCGTGCCCTGACTTAGATCAGCCTTGAGGTTGTTTCAGGGTTAAATCTGTGAGTTAGCCCTGCCCTGACTTAGATCAGCCAAGTGATCGTTTAAGGGTTCGATCTGTGAGTTAGCCATGTCCTGACATAGATCAGGCCAGAGGTCGTTTCAGGGTTGGATAASATTGATGATTGGTTTGGTTTGAGGCAGTAGAAACAAAAAATAAGTAAATACAAAAAAATCGCACAAGAATTTTTGTTCGCTACCTGGTGTCTAAATCTTCAGATTTTTCAGAGTTATCAATAGACAAGATAAACAGGTTGATGAACCACGTCAGCGAGTACTGGTACATAGGTTCGATGTTCGCCAGGTCAGCGATGGAGAAGAACAGGATAGATGAATGAACAGCAATGGGTTTATAGCCCATACGGGTTTTATCGATCTTGATTTCTGTTTCCTCTGCGATTGCCTGTAAATAAAATGTTTTGTTATCACGATTAGGATCCAATACACAATACTTGTCACGTTAGAACACAAGGCAATGGTCCCTTCTTAAATTGTCTTGAATGCGAAGCTAACATGAAAATACAAAAGAAATGCCACAAATTTCATCGAGAAAAAGTGTGATTTCTTTTCTGTATCCATGGGAGCCTCGCATACACAATACTTTTGAAGAGGGTCCATTCTAGAGAGTTGGGATTAGGAGCTCTCAGTGGACACTTTTGTCATTATTTTAACAAAAGGTTGTATTAAATAATGTCATTTTTACATGAATTATTAGTCCAGTTTCTAGAAATTGAAGCCATTGAAAGTTTATGGATCCACTCTAGAATCAGTGATTACTAATAGCAGTTATGAAATTGGCCATCATCAGCATCACCACCACCACCACCAACAGCAACAACAACCAAAAAAAAAAACCGCAACAACAACCAATACGATCCCCGGTCATACCCAACCACGCTATAACTCCACCACTACTATCGAGATCAACTATTAAGTATATCAAAATTATTGATTGATTGGTTGATTAAATGATTGAATGAATGAATGATGAACTGAATAGCAACAGGAACACCACCATCATTAGCACCGCCATTTTATTGACAATGTCCCAGTTATTTATAACCAAAATCATTATCATAAATTTATCTTCATCCAAAGCAATATTGATCTCATCTGAAAGTGAAACTGACCTGTTTCTCTGAGATCTCATTGGCCAGTACTTTGGAGGATGACAAGACGTTGATAGCTGTTTCGTCTTCAAGGATGTTCCCTTCAGAAGACGATAGAACCTCGAGGATTTTATCCTCGATCTCCTTCAGTTGTCTGTAAGCAACAAAAATACACGTTATCACAGACCTTGAATTAAGATCTAAAGAAGACGAAGAACAGGCCATTTGCATGATGACATTGAAAATATTACTATCCCTACCAGCCAAGGTATTTCCTTGCTTAGTAAAAATTGTATTGCCTCGTGCAAATAGTGGTAGAGGTAGTACTAAGGACTTGAAGTAATTCAATTAAGTACCTTTTATTCTCAGCACTCTGGATGATAAGTGCATTCTTTTCTTCCTCTAGTTCTGGTCGTTCACGAGCCACCACGATACCTAGCAACTGATCTTGTAATCCTTCCGGTGTGATCATGAAGTTGAGTAGTGTAACCTAGATATAGATTACAAAGTTTAAAAATCCTGTACTACAGACTTTGCGTTCCTTAAATGAGAAGGTGCTATGGTGATGATGACAATCCAAGGATGTCATCGACTATGTCCTGTCCGCAAAGTTACGGTATGTGGTTTCTCATAATCACTTGTATAGATAGAGCAGAAAGCATTGCTTTTAGTTAACGGAACTTTTTCTTCTGTATTAGGATTCATGTCAAAACATGGACCGCAAAAGAGGAAAAAATCTGTTCACAGGATAATTTAAAGCAACACTGCCATCATCCAATCAGGATCAGGGTACGTCACAACCCATGTACCCTATAGTATAGGTTATACCTTACCTTGACCGCGGTCTCAGGAAGGTAATGAGGATTCCTTAGCTTGGTCGTGATATAAAACCTGACAAATCAGGATAAACAAAGTAGATTACTAACTATAGATAAAACAATCATCAGGGCTCTAAACAAGAACARGGAAAATGATGCGAAAGGCCTTTCTAAACGCCAGCTGGGAATAAACTGATTTTACCATAGTAAATTTAGGCGGAAAAAAGGAGACTAGTCAACAGATGTATTAACCATCCTGTTATATAACAATGACTTTTTTAATACCATAGAGGACCATTTGCAAAAAAAATATAATATTAAAACATTTATGTGGTCTTGATTTTTGTATTTCTAAAAAGAAAAAACATGCTTAATCTATGACTGCAAAATACTAATATTGTCTAGTCTTCGGAAATATTTGTTATGTTCATCGATGACTGCCAAAATTCTCCCCCCCCTCCCCTCCCTTAGGATAATTGTATGAATACCTGAAGTCCTTAGAATACTCGATGACACTGTCACCCACTTTGATACAGATACTGCCTCCTTGTTTAAAGGTCTGTTTGAGCAACAGGGGCTCCAACAAGGGATCCAACTCCTCACCTACATTCTCGAGCAGAACCTATTACCGTCRGAAAATAACAAGAGTATAAGTAAATTATTAATATTGATTATAATTATAGGACAGACAGTTGGGTTGTTCTTAATCGTTATGATGTAATCAACAGGTTTACTTGAAATATCACATGGTGATCACATCATCTTCATCATCATCATCATCACTACCCCCACCATCATCATCGTTATCATGATTATCATCATGCCACCACCATCGTCATTTATWATATTACTAACACCAACACCAACACCATCATCGCCTTCTCTGTCAACATCATTAGTAAACAGGCAGAGAGGAGCATTTGAAAGAACAATTTGATGATATTGCATTAAATATTCAAGATAAGGCGAGAGAAAAGAAAACGCCCCTTCACTCGAATGAAGCAAGCAAGTAGGAAAAAAAGATGTTTTGCAGATGGTGTGCCTACCCATCATTCCCTTGGTCCCTSTCATTTATCTTCAAACTTTTTTACCACAGATTTTACTGCCCTAAAGTTAATAGTTTAAGTATCTTTAGTTTACTTACCGGAGTGCCAAACTGGATGCAGTTTTCCAAGGTTCTGACATAGTCAGCATCTGTTAGTTTAATAACGTGAAGGTTATTTTTCTTCTCCATGTTTTTGACCCATTTGTTTGCCTGTCCTTGTGGATCGATCATCAGTGGCCATCGATTAGCATTACTTAAAAAAAGATTAAACAAGAGAAAYATTTAGACTTACTCTCACTGTTGATTATAAATAACTGCTCATTAGACTGACGGGCCTTGATTTAAATTTGTCAAGATTCAAATTCCCTGAGTMACTAAGGGAACGAGTCAGTGAAAGGTCATTTTGTCAGTGTATTGTTTTCTTTATGTTTTTTGAAAATTCCAGCTCCAGCTGTGTATGGTCCCCCATCTCTTATCAACTATCACTTACTCTTACCCCTGGACCACTGGGTGGAGTCGTAATAATGGCCTCGTAACCACAGACTCGTGGCAGCAACGAAAATCGTTTTACATAACAACAGTTTACATTTTTCACAAGAGTAAAGTTCCTGCGTTGTCTCACGAATTGCATTAGGAATGGCTCGATGGGTCTACGTCTCACCTCCCTGGTGAGAGAGTCATTGCATAACTCTTCTTCCACATTTACCTTATGATGATTCCATTTTCTATAGAGAAACTATCTGTTGGTAGACCACARATGTTCCAGTCTCGGATCTGGACTGCTTCTCCTAGTGTGTTAGTGACGGAGAAGTCCTCTGAACAAGGAATGTTAATCTCTTTGCACTGATTGAGCCACCGAACTGATTGTTCCTGAAATTGAATTATTAGGTACCTCAGCCAACGGGAGATCAAACAATTTTATAATTAGACGAAGCAACATATCAACAATACACCTTATGGTAGTCAACACTGTACATTAGGCATTTGGCGCAAAACACGGCTGATTTCCAAGATGTGTCTCATACCGAACCTTAATCATACAGCGCCATGTTTATTCCCATAAAAATTAAAAACTTTGTTTCAACCAGCGTAAACCAGTCCTGAAACACTTGAATACTTCATTTCTAATTTTATATACAAATAAAGACTGACTAAATAGCTGAGGACTTATATCTGGGGTATGACTTTTGTAATTAAGCTGCGAGCTTGTAAAAAATAAACTGCGCACCATTTTTACGTCATTGAGAATCAAGGGAGACAATAGTACACTAACCTGTCTAAAAGCTGCTGTGAACGCGCCGAGGTAAGCCACTACTCCAGAAGATACTAGAACATCACCAATTAAGTTTTTGAAGCGAATGCCAAGAGCGTTAGCTACTTCTGTCCATCTGTTTGGTTATGAAATCAGTAAAAAGGACAAGATTATTATATTCTAACGATCCTTTGTCCCCCCCCCCCCCTTTGTTAAGCCCTGGTACCACTAGAATGCTCTTCACATAAGATAATGGTGTTAATAGACCTTTTGAGCTTGGACGTAATTTTTTCCCATTTCAAACCACGTGTCATTCCCTAGAGTATCATTTCTTTGTATAACGGTTGCGCACGATAAGATAAGACACATGAATATGGAAACAACTCAAACAAAGAATCTTATTCTAAAGATGATGACACGTGGTCTGAAATGGGAAAACAGTAGTACGTTCAAGCCAAAAAGATCTACTGGGCCAGCCATGTACGTGCCGTAAGTCAGTACTGTATGTTCCCCACTTACACGAAAACTGCTCAAAGGAGATTTGAAAATTATCTGTAATAGCATATCAGAACATGGATTAGGAGAAGGACGTAGACAATACTTCGGTCAATCCAAATCTTTGCTACTACTATTCAATGCATGCATATGCTACGATACACAATATATGTTTTCTCGATAGGGATTTATAATGGAAGTAATCACTTTAGTTACTGACCTTGTTTTTTCACCTCCAAGACCACCAATAAGCTTCTCGGCTCTGTCAAGCTTTTTGGTACAAAGGTCGACCTGTATTTTTAAAATTCAAGACAGGTTTTAAGTAAAAGCAACGACTGAATGCATTTTAGGTAACAGGGACTAAACAAGGAGCGGCTCTACTCGTTTATTTGAAGCTGGTGGAGAGATGATTAATGACTGGAAATACGATCATCACAAACCTGCTTTTCCAAGTCAGCCTTCTTCTTGACGTTAGCTTCGTACTTCTCTTGTAGTCTCGCAAGTTTGTCTTGTACCTCTTTCAGCGCAGCACGTTTTTTGTTCAAACCCTGCGGATAAATATTGCATCATTGAGAACGCTTCTATCCTTGAATATACTATGCTTGTACGACAGATTGAAGGGTTAGAGACTGATGTGACTGCTTAGCTTGTATGTGTGTGTTTATTGTAAGCACCCCTCTAGAAATCCCCCCTACAATGTAAATAAGCTACAGGGACTGATAGAGACTGTATTAACATGTTTAATCCGTGAATCTACAGACCTCCATGGCTACTGCTAAATCTGATTCAGCTTCTTTGAGAGCGATTTTTTTCGGAGCAACGACGCGAGCCACTCTGAAATGAAACAATTTTCGTCATGAGAAAATGATACACTAGAGAAACTCTATTAGGAATAACGGTAACGTAATCTACCAATCGACAAAATTTTATTAGACTGAACAGTTCGTAGGGGGGCAGGGGGTTTGAAATAAAACCATGCGTTGGACGAGCAACAGCGCGCGCAAGAATACTAGTCATCCTTTTACAACTACACTGAAACGTCCACATCTTACGATTCTTAAGTTTTACTACCCCATTCCCAAACAATGGGGAAAAAGTCAGCTTTTAGTGCCTTTGGCTTCACGATATTAAAACAAACCAAGAACTGAAACCCCGTGAACATTACCTTTCATAGGAGTCCATAGCGATGACCCATCGACACAAGCCTTCTGCTGCAGTAGACGCTGTTTTAATCTTATCGGGGTCAAACTCTGGGTTAGATGTGTACTTGGTGCGGATTTGTTTGATGGAAGCAGCTGGAATATTGTCCTTTGATGCAAAGAAAAAAAAACAGTTAACTATCATAGCGACGATTTTCACGCGCTTATCTAAGATGCATYCTTGCATCCCTGCCTATTGACTATGAATTGGTAGGGAAGCACGGTTGGCGTAGTACCACCAATGCCTCAGCAATGTCCAATATTTGCGGTTAATCATTAGGTTACATGTTTATAGTTTAGGGTTTACCTTATCATAGGTCTGTAATGACTGCAGGAATTTCATGTCTCCAAGAACACGTTTCGAGGGACCCCAGAAGTCCTCAATTTTCTTTCCTGATAGAATAGAGTACGCAATAGATGAATAAAATATAACCTATCTTTACGAAGGTCTAGTAAAGATGCGGGGRAAAATCTCGATGAAGCAGGGTGGGGGAACTTATACTCTTATAGGATATTATTATTTGTGTGCGCAAGAGAGAGAAGGGGATGGGGTGGGGGTGGGGAWGGTGGTAAAAGGACCAACCACTTCATATTGCAGGTTTTTCAGTTTTAAGATGTGGAAAGGAAACGTACTTGAAGATATCACTTGAGAGTATGAACACCCACTCACCTGATCCTGATGGATCTGGAATCCTATCTGGTTTAAGGCCTTTCAAGATACAAATAGCTTCCATGACAAGTTTGACACCAGATGGAGGACTCTTCATGGACTTAACCACAGTGATATCCTATAAGGGTATGACACACACACAGTTAAGATAAATCAGGATATTGTCGGCTGTAAATACTCCAGTTTCGAGTTCTCTGTTGCTCAGGGTTAGCCTCGATTTTGTGTAGAATATCCACGTGTTCCAGTGAAGGTCCGTGGAATTTCAAAGTGTTTGTATTGTTGAAGTTGTGCATTCTTTACTTTAGCGTTGGTATTTGTGAATATTTAGACACTGATATGAGGCTAAGTCTGAGTAAATGGGTCTGTAATCAAAGAACACAGCGGTAACTAATTTGGACATCGAAAATGGTTTATTGACACATGAAGAGCGCATGTGTGACGAAGGGAGTCATAAGCAGCAGTTATTGCTCCCCCATACCACTATACGAAGAAGTGACTTACTTTCCACAGAAACCCCATGAACAGTTCGTTCATTCTCTCACTGACATACTTACAGCGGGTGTGAGTGTATTCAATGCAGCTAACGCACTCTCCAGGATAGGGATGGCTTCTCCAAGATCTCGATCACAATCATCTTTGATTGCTTTAGCAGCCATTGCTTGTTCGTTTGCCACAGCCTCGTCTGCTTTGACGATCTAGGAAGTACAAATACCCAAAACGTTAGACATTGCTTATAGCTTCCCTAAATAACACTCTCAAGCTTGCATTTAATTTGGATTCAGTGATTTAAGAACTACATCGAAGTAAAAAAAACCTGCCAAATTTTTCTTCCTAATATGCCTCTTCCTGTTATAGGTTTCCGTTTCTTTTAACTTTTTCACTTTATCCCATTTCCATGACATTGTATGAGAGTCCAGTATCACGTACCTTTTCAGTCTTGGCCACCTCAATAGAGTCTCTCTCGATGATGACCATGATATCGTCTACCTCTTTACCCGCTTGAATCAGCTGTGGCTGTAGGGCTTCCAGCTCGGCTTGCATACCTGAAACCTAAACATTTAACACTATGTTAGGATAAAAAGTACTAAAATCAGCATTTAATTAGTATTGCTTTACACTTGTGACGGACATCTTAAGGACGTTCATGGGCATTGTTCGCGCGAATCCTGTCTATGCATGAATTTAATGCGCGCGCTTATCGTGATGACGTCATTCAAATGCTTTGATAAGCAAAATATCTTGAAAACGTTTTTAATCCCTTATAGCTAAAGAAAGTCGGTCACCCCCTTTTTTATTTCATTTTTCGAAAGTACTTTATAATACCAAATTTTAGAGGACAAATAAAGGCTCAATGAAGTCTGTGACCCCCATTTTTTCCAGTATGATGTACTTTCATCATGCAAAATTTTAAAAAATCCGAAAATCTGAAGATGGGATCTTTTTCCCATGAACGTCCTTAATTACAGTATTCATCATCGTTTTACGGTCATCATCATCATTTTTCCCCCAAAAAATGCTTCTTCGTTGGCTTTTTTTGTTTCAAACAGAGCTTACACACAAGACACGTCATAAACTCGTAATTTACCTGAGATTGAGCGGAATCAAGTTTTTCGAGACCCACTTCGTATCTACGCTTGGCTTTGACCACCTCGCTGTAAAGAAATTAAAAATATCAACATCCATTTTACTTTATCCAACAATCGAGGGGCACGAGCTGCGTTTGCGTTTTTCAAGGAGAGGAGAGGAGAGGAGAGGAGAGGAGAGGAGAG